CTGACAATACTGCTTCACCCCAAAATTCCACAGGAAGCTTGGCCTGAAACAACAGAGAACGAGAGACATTGAGAATGTGTTTGTGTTTGCGCTCCAGTCCTCCATTATGGTGTGGAGTGTCTACACAGGATGTTTGATGGATAATTCCATTATCTCGAAAATAACTAGCTATGCACATGAACTCTGTGCCATTGTCTTTTCGAACTGTGTAGACTTGTTCACCAAACTGTTTCTCTGCCATTTTACAGTAATTTGGTAAGGATTTCTTAACTTCCGACTTCTCAAGCAACAGATGAACCCATACTTCTCTCGAGTAATCGTATACAATGGTAAGGAAATAGACAGCCCCAAATGATGATGGTACTCCGTATGGTCCCCAGACATCGCATTGAATCAAAGAAAAACACTGAACTGCTTTATTATAACTTCCATAAAATATTTCTCTTGTCTGTTTGGCCCTTAAACAAATGTCACACGGACTAGGAACCACAACCTTATTATTCAAAAAAAAAAAATGTAAAAATGATAACACCAAAAACGATGGATGTCCGAGCCTTTAATGCCACAAATTCTGATCTACTAAACTAGAAACTCGATGAGCTTCAGCAGCAACAACATCCTTGAAATGATAAACCCCACCATGCTCTTCACCGGCTCCAATTAGGTTCCTAGTGAAACAGTCCTGCAAAACACAGACCGTATCATATAACAACACAAAAGAATTTGTTTTCTTCAATAATCATGAAAAGGAGATCAAAGAAAAATTTAGATTGAGAAAAAATAGGAAATTTTTAAGGGTAATCTTGTTTGAGATAGACCAAAACCATATATGAGTCGCAAAAGTGGAATTCCCATCAGTAAAGTTGACAGAACATGGTGAGATACGTTTAATCTCTGTCATAAGAGTAAAGTTCCCAGTCACGTGGTGTGAGGCTCCAGTGTCGAGGATGATATCATTTATAGTGGTCTTCCAGATAATTTAAGAGCGTTACTGGTGATTGCTTTTTCTTCTATCATTTGCGTCAGAGTGTTCCATTGTTCTGGTATGAACTCAGGAAACGCAGACGCATTGGCAGTCGTCGCATGAGCCTTTCCAGTTGCTTTGTTTGGATTGTAATCTCCAGCACCACGACCTCTGCCTCCGGAGGAGTTGTAATCACGACGACCTTCTCTGTTTCCACCTCGAGCAGCACGTATGTTTCCACCTCGAGCAGCACCTCTGCTTTAAGATTGTTCCTCCCACCAGTCAGGAAAACCAACTAGTTGCCAGTAATTTGATTTCTCATGATCCACATGGCCACAATGAGAACACATAACACTTCCTTTCCTTGAATGATTCTGATTTGATTTTGTACTACCTCATGCTATTGAAGACTGAACAGATGTATCATGTCGAGTAGTGAAACCAATTGTAGACTGTTGTTGCTCTTGATCTCTCTTTGACAAAATTTGTTTCTCCTCTCGAATAATATTCGCATAAACTTCACCAATATCGAGAGTTGTATCAGAGGCAATGTTCCAGAACAAACACCACCAAATCGTGAGTCATCGAGACCCATTAAAAATTGATGAACTCTTTCTTCTTCACGCTCTTCTTCAAACTTATGTTCTACTCCACATGAGCAATTTAACAACGGCTTATACTTAGCGAGTTCTTCCCACATAGCATACAAACGACCAAATTACTCCAATACTTTCGGACCATCTTGACGACAAGCAGAAATTTGTGTGTTTTAGATAGTGCACACGCACCTTATTACCAAGAGAATCTCTTCTTCAATTTTCCCACAACTTGTAGAAATCCGAGATGAAGGTGATTGTCGAACGCACACGAGGCTCAGTCGATGAATGTATCCATCCAACTATCATGGAGTTTACTGATTGCCAAAGTTCCAAGTCAGGATCACCCACGGATGGCTTAACTATTGAACCATCGATAAACCCGATCTTCGAGTATTAGTTGTCTTCGTTGACCATTCATTGTAGTTTTCACCAGTAAGTGTCACTGACGTGATGAGACTTCCCGGATTATCTGAAGCATGTAACCCATATGGAGATGAAGCTGATGTTTTGGATACCGTAGTAACCGACCCAGGGGTCCTAGTAGATGAACCATCATCACCCATAACGAAATTATAACAAATATTATATTTTAGGTGTCAGAAAAGTTTCTCTGATGCCATGTAAAACCAGACACAAAGAAAAGAATGTTCTGTTGTATTGATACATTTACATATATATATATATATATATAAATAAGATGACTTCCTTATCCTAAGCAGAATATGATATATCTAATGACTCTAAGATATATCTTTAACTATGCATTATTATCACGAGATATTCTCTAATACAATGTAATATGCAAACTATATGCACAAAAGACAAACAAGTGACAACACATCAAACAAGCACAATAGCTGATTATATATCATATATACGATAACTTATGTACCTTTGCTTCTCTTCTCTTCTCTGAGAATCTGGATAAAAGTTAAACTTGGAGAAATAACAAAACTTATTATGGTAAAGAAATTTCTAGAGTTTTAATCTTTTTAATTTATTTTGTAACTAGGGTTTTGTTATTATAATAGGCTAATTGGATCACATATTCATAAAACAAATCAAAATTTAAAAGCCCAAAATAGTTTTCAGTTTTTTTTTTAAACATAGGACCCTCTAAACATTTCCGTCAACCTATCTCTTGAAGCTTCCAATTCTGATTTGCATGCTTCCATTACGGTTCCAAATGTCAGTATCCGAATTTTTGTTATTTCTCCAAGTTCATTTCGCTGTGAAATTTCATAATTTCAGTTTCATCTCGTGTACGAAATGTCCATACTAGATCTATATAACTGAACTACAATAATTTCAATAACGATTCCACACGATTCCGAGCGATTCCGGTTCCACTTCGGAATCACGAAACGCATGACCACCAACGACTCCATACTACGTAGAAAATATGTAATGAATTAGATATCTATTTTATAATTATATATATTTGTATTCTATTTTTGGATGCGAAAAATAAATATTCGGTAAAAGATGAACGAGTCTAATGCATTAACATATTAAATAAATAAATAAATCTGGAATTATGCAAAACCACATCTCTCTTAATCGAAAGTAAAGGAGTTAAAATAGCTTTAAATAGATATACTATCACATGGGATACATTACCCTTCTTAAATATACATATACTTTCTTTTTTTTTCCTTGTTATTCTTGAAAAAAATCAACTTTATGGTAAATAACCACAATCGATTCTTATATATCATTAAGGATGAAATATATTATATTTTCGTTTGATGCTGTGCGTATTCTCGTCATTCTTGTACTAGGTTTGTGTTTATAGTTTTTGGTATATGTTACATTTGTTCCAAAAAGAAATGATTTATAATTTTTTTCTGTCTCTCTCTCTTTTTTTTTTTGCTGCAGCATACCCTATTAATTAATATGCTAAGCTGTTATAAATATTCTTGATATAGTTCATTTCCCTGTGAAACTTCATAATTTTAGTTTCATCTCGTGTATGAAATGTCCATACTAGATCTATATAACTGAACTACAATAGTTTGTGAAGGAATTCTGTGTTATTTCTTCACCTATTTTGCTATTTTCTTAATTTATCAACACATATATGATCTTACTGTATCACGAAGTAAGATTTTTTTTTTTTTTAATTTGCTTCAAAAAATTCTTTCGTTTTTCAACAGTACTTAAGTTTCATTCTTCCTGAGTAAATTAATATGTAAATCTATATTTTTTTGTGCAAGAAATAACAATTATCTATAATTTACATGCTATGTTTTGATTATCTTATTTCAGATTACTTAGAACTTTTTGTATGTCTAAAATAATCCGTGAGTTTTAATAATAACAATTATTATTTAAAGTATTCTATTAATATGCTAAAAGTTCTCGAAAAAATTACTTTCACATACTAACATTACTGTTATTTTCATTACATAAACTGAGATTCATATTTCATACATAACAGTGGCCGGGGTGACGGGGAATATAAGGGAGGGGAGTCAAAGAGAAGTACAATTGTGTATGGTAATTCTAAATAACCAAAAACCTGGAAAATGCGTTTACACAGATTGTTTATCTACGTGTAAGAAGCACACGCAAGGGAAACATCAAATAATGACTAGTTGCATGGCAACCAAGTGCCTGTGCTTTGTCCGTTTTCCATCATCTTAATGTTTTGTATATTGAAAACCAAATTCTGATTATATTTATAATCCATAGATTTACAAAACGTTATTTTAACATTTGATTTTGTTTAACAAAGGGTGCCGTCTTATATTTTAATGTAGATTTAAAATAAAAGTTCAATTTCAACTCTATTGTTTTAATATATTGATTATTAAGAAAACCACTTAGTGTAGAGTAGAACATAATTTTTAAATGATTTATCATCGAACAAAAAAATAATTCATTAATATGGGTAAAAAAATTTCAGGTGATACCTTTGTGAAACAATCAAGTAAATTGTATTGTATATCAAATCAAACAAGTATTAAAAGGTGAATAGTAAGCCACATGAAAGTGTCCACATCCTCAAATATAATCAGCCAATGGGGTTATAACATTTCGTCAAGTCAGCATTTGTTTTTGATTGTTTGGGCTTCGTTTGGTCACGGCCTGTTTGTTTTTTTTTAATTGGTTGCGAAGCCCAGTCTTTTTCTTCTAACGTCGCTTTACTTGTCGACTCAGATCTTCTCCTCTCACTCTTACGAACTCTAATTAGTGTGCCTTTTGATCTCCCTCTTCCTCTTCTGTGTTCCTTTTAACTCATATCATCAATACGCTCCCCAATTCTCTACCCTCTTTAATTCTTTTTCTCCCTTTACTTTTTTTTGTTGGATTCTTTTCGCTTTCTCACAGTAAAATCCTATATATCTCTTAGTCGGATTGTATTCTTCCATCAAAAAATCGTTGTATCTTCTCTATATCATACAGCGATGTCATTATCCTGTGATAAGAAATCGATGAAGGCAAGTAGCAAAGCGGCGTTCTCTTCCTCTGGTCAGGGAAAAATCATCGGAAAAAACGAAATCTCCACCGGCGTTAGGGGCACAGCCGCTGTCTCCCCTGGCGGTAGAGGAAAAGCTATCGTCTTCGACGGTATTGGGGTCTGATGTCCTTCAAAGACGTTTCATTAGGGCCCATGGAGGCGAGGTTAGGTTTAGGTTGATCCACTTTTGGGAGGCTCGGAATGTACAGACGAAGTTGCTTATCGGTCTTGAAATGCTTCTCATCGATGAAGAGGTATAACACGCAAACTTTTCAATATTAGTTTAGAAAATCATTTGGTCGATATGGTTAGACAATAAGTTTGTTATCTTGCTTTCTATAATCATCGCTTTCACATTTTAGGAACAGTAGATTGGTTAAACGGTTTGGATCCGTACACTCAGTGTATTCATACCAATAATTCTTATTGGGTCTCAGATAAATTCAGTATCGTTTACTTTAGGAACAAGATAAATGGATTAGAGTAGATCGTTAATTGTTGTTAGGCTTTTTTAGAAATCATTTGGTCGATATGGTTAGATAAGTTTTTTTATCTCGCTTTCTATAATCATCGCTTTCACATTTTAGGAACACTAGATTGGTTAAACGGTTTGGATCCGTACACTCAGTGTGTTCATACCAATAATTCTTAACGGTCTCAGATAAATTCAATAATGTTTATTTTAGCAAAAAAATAAATGGATTAGAGTAGACAATTTATTGTTGTTAGTTATTTTTGTTTTTTAATTTAAATAAATTTCTGCAAATCTTCTCCAGTTTAATCGCTTTCATGTTGTAATAGGAAACTGTTATCCAGAGCTAGCTCATCCCCCATGGTAAGATTGAGACTTATTTGCCACACTTGAAAGTTGGTGCCATTTACAGACTCAACAAGTTTTTTGGTTCAAAGAACAATATTTTGTACCGGGTAGCTGAACCAAGTGTCACTATTACCGTCTCATGGAACTCTTCTCTCTCTTTTCTGGAGAACAGCTTGGTTCGTTTTCCTGAGGACCGGTTCCAGTTCCATGGATACAGAGAATTTGAAGCTGCATGCGACCTGAAAGGGGACCTTTATGGTAAGTTCTCACCTTTTTTTATATCCCATCACTTTTATATTGGATAATGTTTTGGCTTAATCTTAAATGTTTTGATCCCATACGATTTAGTATATTCTTAAATGTATGTGTGTGCCACTGTTTTGATCCGGCTTTAAGTATTTGCAGTTCGTTAAGGAGTTTATAAGATGTAAAGCATTCAATTTGATTGTTCTCACTTGCAGATTATCTTGGCTATATTAAACTTGTGATTGGGCAGGTTCCCAACGAAAAAATTGTTCTTGATGAAGCCGAGATAGCTTCAACCCGTTGAGTTTTGCTTCATGTTCAGACACATGAGTAAGCTATTCTCTATCCTATTCTATATTCATTTATGGTATCTCTTACCACACGAGTTTGGGCTGTTGCAGTGATCCGGTGAGAAGCTGTACCTATGGGACCAGGCTGCGTCAGAATTTGTTGAGAAGTTTAAAGCAACTGGAAACACTGCAAGTGTTATCTTAATGACCGCCTTAAACCCAAAACGGTTTGGAGGTTTGTATTTCCAAATCCTGCCCCCTGATTATGGATCATATCTGGTTAGGTTAGCTTAGAGTAAGTATTATCTCCTGTGTCGCAGAGTATTGAGAGTTACTGCTAGAACTGATTTTAGTTGCCTTTAGTGTTCACTAGCTATGAAGCATTTAAAAGTAATATGAAGAATTAATAGTCGATTAAGCTAGATATGTCATATTCTCTTCATTTCATTTGACTGTGAACCTGCTTCTGCACAATAACATTGGTTCTTTCGCAGGCGTCCTATCTCTATCCTCTATGGCTCCTTCTCGGGTATTTATGGATAGTGATGTTGAAGAAACCCGGTACTATCTCAGTTGGTAAGGTTTATAGTTTTTTTGTATTCAATCATAATATGAAGTACTTCACTATTGTAATTTTTGTTTTTAAATTTTCTTCATGTTGAACACAAACTTAGATGTTGCCAACATAGTTAATGCAAAGGTTGTCACCAAGCCGGAAGCAGTGGCCTTAGCAGATCTCTTCTCCTATATGAAGCAGGCATCTGCTAAGGTATTGTATTCACAATGTCTGGCACATACAATAAGATAATCTATGTTCGTCGTTGAATATTACAAACAATTTTGCAGGTTGCTTGGCTTGCGTGCGCATCCACTATTGATGATGTTGTGCATGGGTCTGGGTGGTATTATATAGGCTGCGGTGTGTGCCATACTAAGGCAACCAAAGGGCTTACAACACTTATGTTTAAGAAATGTGGGAAGAGTGAAATTATTGATGTGCCAGAGTAAGTGGGTTGCTTTTTTAGGTATATTAGTACTTTGGCTGCCATGATTATTAATGTGTTTCTGGTACAGGTACCTGTCGAAGATCTCGGTTTATGAAAACATTGATCAAGCCGTATTTGTTCTTCTCTGTGATGCTGGTGAGGAGTTGAGTGGGAAGAAAGCGTATGAGTTGGTTGAGAGCTATTATCAGGTAATTTGAACGTTTTCATCCAATATATTTGAAGATGTATTCTGATAAAATTTTAAATGTATGTTAGGCCAATGAGACTGTAAGAGATGATCACATCGTTCTGGTGCCTCAGGCTCTGATTGATACCATTGGAAATACATGGAAGTTCCTTGTGAAGGTATCAAGTCACAATTTGACCGGCAAGACCCAGTCTTTGACTGTGACAAACGTGTTCCCTCTTGAAGCCCCAGTACCCGATGGCAACCTATGTGAAAACGTGGACGAGGAAACATGCAATGACAAGGAGGACCCTGTAGATGAGTCGGTGAAGAGGAGCTCTGATGAGATTGTGTCAGGAGATGCCAAGTGTGCCAAATGTGGCTAATGATTTCTTATTACTGGTTTTGTTTCATTTGCTACTATGCTTTGTCTTCTACCTTTTTTGAACTTTGTCTTTGCATTATTTCAGCAACTTTGTTATAATTTCTTTTGCTTCTACTATCTATTATTAGACCCTTTTCATGTTATACTGTTTGAGTACTAGAACTAGCAATGCTATCTACTGAGTAGTATAAACTTGAAGAAAATTGCATATAAGTTATTAGACTTTCTTGCATATAAGACTTTTTGTAATGTCCATCGCTCTATCACGAATGGTACAAATAGTTTGGTCTTTTGTGAAGTAGTTTGTGTCTGAATCATCTATCAAATTGTTGTATTCTCAGTGACAGTCAAGTTTTGGTATGGTGTTAATGTCTAAATGGAAAAGTTGTTAACCAGTCCGGTTTCTCAATTTTGGCTTCGCTCATTAATTAGGGACTGCAAAGACAAGACAACTATATATAAACTTACTATACATATTACAAACTCATAAACCCTTCAAAGATAAGTAAAAAGAATGAGGCTTTCCATGAGCATCACCAATTTCATCTAATTTGCAATTTGTCACCATCTCTGCTGCCGATAAGAGAAGAGAGTCACCAGATATCATCCATCAATATCACCGTCGAATATTCCACACCGTCATTTTGTTAACAAGATCATCAAACTTGAATAAGCATGGATTCAGGTTACGTATCTCATTATTACTCACAAACGTTTATCTCCTACACCTATCGTTGCTTGCTACCACTTTACTGGCGTCTTTCATGTCCATCTGAAGTAGCTGGACTCAGAACAGGATATACAAGGCAAACAAGGGAGTAGCCAAGCTTAAAATCTTTAATGTTTTTAAATCCGACCCGAACACTGAATCGGACAATTTGCCGGGTCATTGGGTCACTGGGTCAACCGCGGGTTAATAAATGAAACTTTATTATATAATAATATATTAGCTATGAAAATAAAATATAGAAATTAAAGTTAAATATTGTCTAAATGTTTTAAAACATAAAATGTATAAATATACAAAATATCAAAAACTAGTTTAAACTATTTAAATTGTTTTATAACTAGTTAAGAGTAAGGACATCTAAAAAATCAAGATATAAAATTCATAAATATTTAAATGTCTAATGAAAATAATAAATTAAACTTCAAATCCAAAATAAACCAAAAGTAAAACATTATTGTAATAAATTATCAATAACAAAAATAAACTAACACCAAATCACATCAACTAACTTTGATTCTCGCTACCATCTTTCAGTTCATTTTCTCCAGGTGGAATAGTGAAATCTTCATCAAAATCTAAAAATCACAGATAAAATAGTGTACCAGGTATTATGTATGATAAAAAGTCAGAAAGTTTAATCTAAATTTAAAGAAGAAGACGGAAATGCCACTAACTAAAACGTGAAAACTTAACTTTTAAATTAGAAATTTAGAAGGATGACAAAAGAAAATAGAAATTTAGAATATAAAACATAATAAAAACATAATTTAAAACTAAAAAAAAGTAAAAGTTTATTTATTGGTTCAACCGGCATTGGATTTTGGGTTTTAGTAAGTTTTTCAGGGTTTTTGCTGGTTTTTAAATTTTAGGTTTTTAAACAAAACCCGAACCGGATTTAATTTGGGTCACCGGGTTTACCGAGCCAACCGCGGGTCCGGGTCGGGTTTTAAAACAATGGTCTCAAGTTGTTTTTTTTCATTAATAAACCGAACGAATATACTCCAAAAACATAATAAATCCCCATAGTTATGAAATTCTTAATCAGAAAAGGAAATAAGTATATTCATTGTCCAACATTACCACTCTTTCTGTATATCTTATGGAAGCAGAAAAAAAAACCCTAAAACAGAATTTGTTTGAACCGAGATCGGTGATAACAAGTAAATGATCGACGAAAACTCATCGGTGGGTTATTTCGAAGGTGTAAACAAGCAGATAAGAGTAAGAAGAGTTTTATTAATCAATGGAAGAGAGAGTACAAAGAGAACTGCGGTGCTCGGAAGCTAACCGGAGTTGTACGGACCGATCTAAGAGCAACAAGATGAATGAAAACCCTAGTTTAGCTGCCGGCTAGTCAGTCTATTTTCGGATCCCCTCTAAGTCTAATCTCCCTTCGCTTTTATAGGTTGTTGTACGGACAACCCTAATGGGTCGTGTCCTTCGTCTCATGGGCTTTTAGATGAGCAGGGTCTTCTTACTCGGTACGTAGTGATGACGTGTGCTCGGCTCCGACTACCTTGTCGTCTTGCGGGCACTGAAATTCCTCATCTATTCGGGCTGAATGATGGGCTGTAGTATTTATTCGATGGGCCTTGTGGAAATGATGAAATCCATCTCTACAGAACTCACCTCTGCCCAAAACGCATCTCCTCCAACATAGCCGCAAACACATGCTACATCATCTCACCAAGCATGAACTCCACAAACCGTTTTAGTGTAAGCACAATGGATTATGCAGCATCCGCTAAACCCTTTGAAACTCTAGGTAAATATAAAAGGTTCCCTTCCAACTCTGCATAAGTATCAGCTTCGCTAATCTCTTTTGGTTCGTAAATATTAATCACCAAGTTTACATAATTTTACAAAATACATTGTTATAAATCAATAAAAAGCATCAACAATTATGATCCTAATGAAATTTAATTAACCACGTAACCGCGCGTAGCGCAGAGAAACACCCTAGTATATATATAAGAAGAGTTTTCTCTATTGGGCACAAAACACCTTATCAATTGGATGTCTATAAACTTGACAAACAAGTATAATTTTGAAATATTAATGAATATTCCTAAGATTTTCAAATTCTTATTATTCAAACTAAATACATTAACACAATATTAAATAGTCCCTAAATATTTCTAATTAAATCCAATTACACAAATCAATTGTAGTTTTCAAATTATGAATAATTATTTTAACATAATTTAATAGAGAATAAAATTTGTAATTTATACAAGGGGTTTTTGCCAAAACTAACCCACAACTTGGTTTTAACCCCAATACTAGACCCCAACTTGAATCAAATGCAATTCTAACCTAAAAGGGCTATGAAATTACAATATAGTCCTCTGTGACCAAACAAAAAAACAGAAGACATTTTTACGAATATAACCCCAGTAAGTTGTCTGAGTCGGGCTGAGTTACTTTTCAGTCGTCTGGGCGACTGAAATGTTAGTTGTCTCGACGATTGAATCTTAAAAATAATTTATAAATTCTGTAAAAAATATTTTCATGAGTGAAAAATTAAAAACATGTAATTATAAACATTTATAAGTGATATAAATTAAGAAATGATAAAATTGATTTGTTTTCAGCATAGATGAGTGGAAGTAGTGAATCATGATATTCTTTGGTTTAAGGGTTTGGCAAACATATGTTGTA